TTTCAAGATTATTCAACAAAAAAATAAAAGGTATGTACATTTGTTTTTATTTTTAATCATTTCACTGCACAAAACACTGATGATAATACTCGAAATATTCAGTCTGAGTGCAAATAACTAGAATACAAAAATAACAAGTCTTTAATTTAAAAAAGAAATTAAAAATAATCTCATTCTTTGTGTACAAAATACTCAAAATCTTTAATAAAATCTTACCAATTGTTGTGCAGATACATTAAGAAAGCTCAGAGTTTTCATAAATATTGTTGCTCTGTGTATCGTTCTCCATACGAGCTATGCTCATTGGGTACAAGGGATGGAGCAAATACTGGATATCAGTAATCAAATACAAATACTTCATATGTTTATGAATACAAATACAAAACAAATAAAGGAAAAATGCTAAGTATTTGAAAGTTATCATTTTCCAAAACTGAAAATGTATTTCCAAACATACTTACCTCTGCTGACACTAATAGCTATTTCTCAATCTTCATCTTTGCTATCTAACATTGTGTTTGCTTGCTCCAGTCTTTATATACCCCACTTGACTGCCCTCAGCAATATCTAATTTGCAAAATTTTATGCCGGCCCTCACATGCCCTCTATGCAGGTACTGTATATAAGCACTGTATGTAGACAATAAAATCACTTTTTTGAGACTTGCCACATTCCAGTCACTAACACCAGCTCTTAGTGGGGAGGAAAGGAGGGAGAGTGTCAGCAGAGGTAAGTATGTTTGGAAATACATTTTTAGTTTAGGAAAATGATAACTTCCAAAACATACATACCTCTGCTGACACTAATAGCTAGAATTCCATATTGAGAAGGTGGAGAGGCTGGTGAGGACAGAGATCATACAGAAAGCATCTGCAGAGAACAAATATGTACCATGAGAAGTGGTATCAAAGTGGGGAACACCACACTACATCCAGAACAGGTATGCTCTTCACCCAGAACAACAGAAAATTGAAAAGGGTGGAATATTATACAAGTACGATGGTCCAGCCCCAACAAACAGCCGTGGTTCCACAACTCAGATTGGATTTAAAGATCATGGTACCCACGTTGGTGGCCAAGACAGTTGGACCACAGATATATATATATATATATATCTTTGTGATAGGATCCCTACCAGTAACCACAGAATGATGCATTTCAAACCACTGGATTTATGAAAGAAAGAAAGCAACACCAAAATGGACAATCCTTCTGATCAACCTGAAGAAGTCCAAAAGGCAACATCCCAGGTCTGGATGATGGGTTCATATGCCATATTCCACCAAAGTCCAGAACTCATTCAGTATGGATTTACAAACAGTTGGAGAGTCCTGAGGAACAGGTCTCCAAAGACAGTGTAACAGGTGAACCATGTTCCCTAATTTTTAAAAGCAAACTGATCTCGACTGATTCAGCTCCAAGATCAGCCAGGACTGGCAAAATCCCTTTTAGCTTCACTCATGATAGTCCATGAGTAACAGTCCATTAGAAATATTGTAATATGATATCACCATTAAGAACTGCATCCAGATGGTCTTATGGAACACCTCAGAGCCCATTGCAACCAGGAACTGATATGATGGATGCTAGTGTGGAATTTAAATACAAACACACTCGCCACTGAGTAGGATCCAAAAAAAATGAATAGGGACCCTAGAAGAGAAAGGAACAATAACTGTAAGTCAGATAACACATTACTCACCACCCTGTTAAAATCTAGTAGAGGTAGTCAACATAGCCAAAGGGAGAAGACGAAGCCCTTTTGAAAAGGAAACTGCCAGATCATGAAGGTAGTAAGATATGAACATGTTGGGAGAAGTCCACAGAAACGATTAAGAGAACCAATGGAATGAGAAGTGGATAGAGAGGGCCATGAGACATGAGGGGATGAACATACAGAAGTTCAAGTGGAAGTAGAATAGGATTGAGCAGCCAAAGACGATAAAGAAGATGCAAACGTGTCGTATCAACTCTGGCTTCTAAAGATTCTGGAAATCCAACATATAAATAAGGCAGAAGAAAAGGCACTTCCCATAAATCTCGAAGGGCAAAAAAAGGTAAGTGAATACCCTCCAAAAATGCATCATGACTCAACAAGTCCCAGCAATAAACAAACCACGACACCAAGGCAAGTCCTGAAGAGGACAAACATGTCATAATATTGACCAGTAATTGGCCCAGTTTGTCATCAAATTGTTGAGGTGTTTGGTGATATGCTTCAGACAAAAGTTGAAGGGAAGAGGAGTATCTTAAAACAGTAGTAAGAGTCAAACAAATCTGTGAAAATTGCAACTTGTTAAGAGATAACAGATTCATACCTGGCACCCCATAGATCCAACAATGGATCCAACCTTTGAGCATCGAAATATATATCATTCTGACGAATGTTGTTCAGATGAGGGTGGGAAGGCATAGCAACATCCTCACATAATTGTGTTGCAAACCTCCCTGGATGCCCAGCAATATCAGGAGAAGGAAGAAAACTTAGTAATCCCCTTAAGAATGATTGGACAACAAAGCAGGGGTAGACTCCAAAGCAACTGGCTGTATCTCCAAAACTTCCCAAACATGCGTAAGTAACTGCATAAAAAAGGGCAGAAGGTAAATGATCAGATGAGTCCTCAGAAGAGGAAGTTCTAGTGAAAGAAGGGGTAAGAAAGAGGGAGTCAAAATTCTCCCCAGAATATCCCATTACAGAATGAAAATTCAAATCAGCACCTCCCGGAGAGATACCCCCAGGCTGCATGAAGGACTCCATCTCACCCCAAATTAGGTCACGGACAGCTTCCATGGAGAGTACCCCCCCCCCCCCCCTCCTCAACTGCTAAACACCACTAGATGACAAAAGGGGAATAGATGAAGTCTGAGTAGCCTCCATGCTTGAAACTGTTACATGGGAATTCATGTCCTTTTTATTTATTTTTTTCATAATATATCTCTGGATAACAAAACAAAGAATTCCTGATTATTAGACAGCAAAAGCTTAGGAAGTGTAAATCACAAAACATTAGTCTGAATGCTCGCACTTTGTTGAGAAAAAGTGATTTTATTGTCTGCATACAGTGCTTATATACAGTACATGCATAGAGGGCGTGTGAGGGTATTGCCCCATTTCCATAGGATTGAAGTGTATTATGCAAAAAAAGTATTATTTTTACTTTTAAGTTCAACAACAAATAAATGAAGTTATAATTTTAAAATATAGATTGTTTCTTGTTTGTTGGTATGTAAGTAAGTAAACTGTACATGAAGATAACCTTGTAAACTACTTGAAGTGGTATGTGTAATGCAGCAATACTTATTACAAAAGAAAGATTTATGGATTTGCAGCTATCTGATTGACTTCTTTTAAATCCAACATACCAATATCTGTTGTAAATAGTTTTTCATATTTGACACAGTTTAAAAATAAGGAATAATTTATAACTGATTGCTTACAACTGTGTAAAAAACTAGTATACAATGGGTTCAGCAAAGAAACAACATATTTTCTTCCCAAAACAAGCATCTCTAAAAAAATATTTTTTAACTGTAGTTTAAGTAAAACTATTCTTCATTAAATATTTTACCCTATAGTAATAACATTTTCAAGAAATCAGTTTTCTGATTTGAATAGAAGAATAAGAATTGAATAGTTTGATAATGTACATTTAAACTTAGTTTGTTTTAGAAGTGTATATTTATAATTAATATTGTATTTGTATTTTTATTTATGGGAAACCTACTAACGCCATCAGCAGCTGTCCTTAATTTTGTACTATTGATCAGATGAATAGAAACTACTCAGCAGATTCTACCACCCACACTAAGGGATAGCCTACTAATCTCTCAATCAACCACAGCTTAAAGTGTAGGGAATATTGTTTTTTGTATCATGTAGATTGAAATCCACCTCACCAACTTTGAAATCCAGATAATACAATGCTAAAAATTAAACAATATAAATATATGTATATGGTGAAAGATGACATTTTGAGAATAGATGCAAAGTATCAATTATGTTAATTGTTAGGTTTCACTACTGTCTCTTTCTTGATGATGGTAGGTCTTCAACCCACTGACATATGTAGAAGCTTTAAGGCAAGACCTGGTGCCTTTGGTAACATTAAAAAAAAATCTTTATATCATGTACTTTCTGATATTGTATTATCAAGATTTTGATAATTTTCATGAAATATTTGTCTGACAGTGTATGCTGAATCTGTTGATATACAGTTGTTGCCAACAACTATGCAGGTATTTAGTTGACACACTAGACCTTACAAACATGATCAAGTACAGTTGGCCAAAAGCCACTTGAGTATAGCTTACTAACAGCCAAATGTAGATGATACAAAATATTCATGTTTAAATAAAAACAAAATAAATAAAATACAGTCACTTCTCAAGCAAAAACTTGATTAGTACGTTCAGAAGAGACTTCACTCATACACAAGTGTGACAATAAAGTTAGAACCTTGTAATTTAACTAGATTATTGATTACTTACAAAAAACAACATAACTATAGAGCACATTATACTAAAATACCCTTATTTATTTGAACTGCCAGGTTTGTCCTGACAGTTTCCATTACGGCCTGTCAATCTGACATTTAGCCTCAAAATGTATTATGTTGTGCCATATACAAATATGTTTTGTATTTTTTAAGTTTGAAGACAGTTTCTTACAAAATCCAAACATAGGAATATTGACACAAATGTTAAACTATTTACAATTGTATACACCAACATTGCTGAAATAATTCCTTTATAATACAACTTTCACTAGTAGCAAATAACAAATACTTATTTCAACTTTAACTATAAACTAATTTTTAGCTCCACATAAATCAGCTACCTTAAAAACAAAATTAAAAAACAATTGAATCTTGTATGCCAAATGTTACTACTGAAGAATTTATGAATATAAAATAAAGTAACAAAAACAACACACATATAATTAGAAATATTGACAGATTTCTATTTCCATAAAAAAAGTCAGCACCAAAATAATTACTTACTAAAGTTACATCTGTGTTTCCATAACTGATGAAGGTTACAGTACATTGTCCATCCTCAGTGATGTCATCAATGACAGCATTATAATACCTTCAAGAAACCAATAACAAAGTGAAAATTATTGTTATTACAGTATCATCAATATTCAAGACTAAAAATTAGATGTTTGGATAAGGAGCATTTATCCTTTTTAATTGCTTATTAACATGTGTCTCTCAAAACTAGTGTATGTAATGGATTAACATTTCTAAATCCTATTTTTAATGTTTCAAGAGATCATCAAGGAACAGCCTGAAACTTAATGTTTTTGAGTATTTGGACAATACAAGTTTGATAAAACAAAGCTTTAATTATATCTTAGCTCATATGGCTGATGAGTTTGATTCCTCTTTCTTCAACAACATGCAAAATATGAATGAAGTACTAATTTATGGTGAAATAATGCCTGCTTTTTTTGCTTCTGTATAGATATTGTCATCACATTGTTTACAGTAAATGCATTCAAGTAAGCTCTCCACTCTGATATTATTCCTTTCATGACTGAACATCCTTTTTTTTCGACAAAAAAGGTGTAAAAAGAGAATATAACCTGCACACACAATTTATTGTGAAAATTTTGAAAAATGATCTTTTTAGAATTCTCGAAAATATGTTTCAACTCAATCTACAGCAGTAAAAATACAATACACCATAACAAAAATGCATGTATAAAGTAAAGGAAGAAAATCTAGATCCTTGTGAATAGTGATGCATTCTGATTGAATAAAAAAGTGAAATGCGGTGTACAAGTATATTGCACCTTTAATTCATGGATTCCTGGAAACGTGTGTTTTAGTTGGAAAATATGGATCCTACAATTCAGGCAAATTCATGACTAAACTTAGCAGAGCTTCTAAACATCATCAAAAACAGGTTATTTGATGTGCTTGTCGTCACTCGTCCTTCAATCTCATCACACGGCAAAATATTTTCCCCCCTGCATAAGCATAATGAATGTAATATAGAACTTTGCAAAATGTATCACTGAAATATATTTGCCAAAGTGTTTCTTGTATAATTATAATAAAGAATCTTATAAGAATCAGTGTCTCAATGTATCTAATATTACATGAAATGACTGAGAATCAACTTCAGAACACTTAGAATTCTAGAGCTCATGGGGATAATGGTTCTCAGACACTTG